CTGGAGAGGGAGAGAGAGTCGAGAGGCGAGTGATCGAAGTGGCTTGGCGTGAACTGTGACGCAGGTCATTGAATCGATCAGAGAGTCGACTGGTTTTGGTCTGATGATAGTCGCTATCTTCTGCTATCGATCAATAGCAGGTCGGTTTGCATCTCCACCGCCACCTACTCTAAAACCCACACACAGAAACCAGACCCTATAGGCAAAAGGATATTTCCCAGAGTTTCCGTCCCAACTTGCTTGAATGGATGTGCAAGAGTTGGGAATAAAGGACAGGTCGGGTGCTGTCTGGCTGAGAGTGGTCTGGAAAAAGGTGTATGGAGATAGACGAGGGAGTTGGAGGGTTGACCACATCCGCGCATTGCATGTGGTATCGTTGGAATGTGTGTGCAGGTATGCTTGGAGGCATGAATGGATCTATAAGGCTTGTGTGGATGTTTTAACCTTTTCTGATGGACAAGCCACAGTCATAAGAGTGAGCGTGACTACCGAATGCCAGACAACCCCCCTGCCTACATGATGTCCCTATTTTACCTTTGACTACGCACGGTCGTACGAGCCTCATAAGGCTGTCGCGAGATCAGGCCGGTGCCACACAGGGCATAGAGGGATCATCGCCCCCCCGACGCGGACCTTTCCTGACTCTTAAAAGTAGCCACGGGGAGGAGCATGAGAGTGCAAAGAGGAGTTTGCTCGTCTGATTGTGATTGGATGAATGGTTCCATAACTGAAACTTTAAGCGTCTGATCGTTGTTCCATTATAGGATGCCCTAAGGCAGACCAGTTGCGAAGGTCAGGCGACCCTTTATAAGGTTACACATTATTGCGAAGGGAGACCCTCCGTGACACATCATAGCTGACGCCTGAGCGTTGCGAGGTGGCTGCTTACTTGGCCTTCATATGACCCCGATGGGCCATCACGTAACCACTAAGCTTCATCGGGTCAGAACCCAGACGAGTCCTTAAACCACCTGTACACGGCCCCAGCCTTCCCGGAAGACAAACTTGTTGCCACAGGAAAATTTTGGGCCTCGAGGAACGCCCAATAGAGCGACACGGCAAGACGCAGGTGGGCCCAACAGAAAAGCCGAATGGACTGGATGTTATACTGCTGGTCCAATCCATGCTGGTGTTTTCACATGGGCAGATACCACGCCCTGCCTCACAGGCAAGAGGAAAAAAATGCGTAGAAGAAAACAACAACAACCTGAGTGCTGGTCACACTGAGGTAGGATAGTAGGGACAGGGGGTGCGCTGGGAGTATTAACGTGGGGATGGGTAGGGTAGGTGGTCTACCCTGTCAGGATAACCATGGGCTGCCGCTACCAGCAATCACCGCGGGTCTGGTCCTTGGCCTCTACAACACCCTGGGCTTAAAACAACAACAACAACAACAACAACAGAGGGCAAAAAAAAAAAAAAAAGCGAGAGAGACAACGGGAAACATATGCCTTGTTGTCCATTCGAATTGCCCTGGCAACATTCCTGCTCCAGATTTAGGGGAACTCTTTGAGTTCCCATCTTTCTTTTTAGAGGCCCTGCTAGGAAGGCAGGGCATTTTTGTACTCTTCCAATCTGGTGGGTGACCGTTTCTTTTCAATTGTCACTCGCATGTAGCACCTGGCACACTGACAGTAGCACTTCGCTGCACATATCTATGCGTGATAGAGGGCTGTATGCACCGAGGGGAGACGGCGGTGAGGGCAAGCAGCCCCCAACCGGCCACTAGCACATGTTATCACGACCTATACGCAAAACAAGTGGGAACAGAACACTGCCAGCAGAGTGCCAGGCGGCTGTTTTCATGGGCACTAGCCTTTTGAGAATCACAAGCGGGGGGTTTATTGAACTTTATTCAGTTTAGTAGAATATGAATCTGCTCCCAGTCTAGGTTAGATACGGGCGGACTTCTTTGAGGGTCATTTGAGAATCATGAGGAGGACTTTCTTTCTTTCACGGGCACCAGCCTGCTTTTTTTTCCCATTTTTCTTTTTTCATTTTCGTATTTTGTGACAGGCGCCCACGACCCAGTTTCTAGCTAGAGACAAGGGCTTGCGTTTGCGGAGAGTTTGCCTGGGGTGGCACATAAGTGAAAATGATGCCCTCCTTTCCATACCGTCAGCTGGCAGCAGGTCTAGCTGTTCAGTTTCACAGAGGGCGGTGCTGGTATCACCCTCAATTTCCAAGCTGGGATGCCGGTGTTTAGGGTTGGCAAAATTCAAAGTTAGGCTCGTACATTTAGCCTTGGGTGTATTGGGTGGTTTAATGCTATCGCTCCTCCTTTCAATTACTTGGTGGGATGATAGGAAGGTTCGGGTGCTGTTGCCAACATCATAAGGCTTCCTATCGCTGGAGTCACCCCACCCAGCTCTCAACGCATGGTGCAGAAGGGGGCAGGGTACACAACCGTATCTGTGATTATTCGACGCGAGTTGAACTCCCAGCGCGCATGTCAGCTGACACTTCCCGTATGCGACCTCGGAGGACACGAAGGGCTGCATGGTTATGAGTACCATCTAATGCATTGTCATGTTGGCAGATCGAGTGTTCGCGCGTGACTAAACGTTGTGATTTCGCTCACATCGCCGCTACAGTTATGAAGCTCCATGTGGGCGGCGAACAATCAATTGCACGTGAAAGTAAGTTATGGGCGAGGAGTGGAAAAAGGGCAAGGCGCATAATTACGAGTTTGGGGTATTGAAATGGAAGAGGTCTGAGTCGCGTGGTTATGTCTAGAGTCCTAGGCGACCAGCGTAGGGCTGCACTTGGTATGGAAGAGGTCTGAGTCGCATAAGTGACCGTTCGTGTGCGGGTTCGATCTGGGCATTAACCGTACTCATCCCCTATGCAACAGTGTACGAGAAACGCCCCCGGCTGGTCCACCTCTACAACTGCAAGTAAAACCTCTCAGACGTGGATCCGTAGCTCACCGGGGATACGCCCACCCAGGGATGGTGACAAGTCCCACAAGTGGAGGTGAGGTGTACCTCCCGAGGCTCTGTCCTGTCGCAGGGGCTCGTGAGAGGTATCGCCGGTGCACTCAGCTGGAGTGGCACTGCTCCAACACTTTCGCTTCCTGTATGCCAAAATCCAGCGTGACGTGGCCGGGAGGGTCCCCGTGCAAAATAGATGTGCTCGGCACCGTGCAGCCACCCTCCATTTTGGGACTAGTGGCAACTTCTGATTCGGCCCCATGCATCAGTTGGTATGAGCATCAGCAGGCCATACACAGAAAACCAGCAGGGTTATAACAAAATCTCGACTGTAGTTGACAGTCTGACCTATGGCACAGGTTCTTGCCATCAGGTACCATGCATTTGCTGCCATGTTGGCGATAGTGTTTCATCAGCGATTGATTTGTCTATGAAGGGTTTCCACGCAGACAACATCAATGATCAAGACTCTCGGTTCTTGTGGGGCTTTCGGTCTGCTCTCACCGACCCTTGCAAATCCATCCTTAAGCCAAGTTCTTACTATCACCTGAGTACTGACAAGCGGAGGGAGACACCCCACTTGTCCAATATAACAGCAAGGATTGGGAGTCCGGCATGGACAATGTCACATTTGCTCATAATATGCCTGCTCACCAGATGATCAACACATCAAGATGGGGCACAGCTCCCTCTCTCTCTCTCTCTCTCTCTCTCTCTCTCTCTCTCTCTCTCTCTCTCTGTGTGTGTGTGTGTGTGTGTGTGTGTGTGTGTGTGTGTGTCTTTCTGTGAGTAGGTTGCATGACATGCATGAGGCAGGAATCCCGGCTTCCACTGTCTTCTGAGGCAGAATAATCAACTTCTAGAATGTGACCTTGGTCAAGCATGTTTGTTCTTCATAATCCCTATAAACTTCCAAGCTGTGATGAAGCACAACTTCATATCTGTTAGTCAAGATGTAGTGAAAACATGTGCCACACCAAAAAATGAACAAGACTAACATTAAAGTTTATTAGATGTGTTATGTGAGGATTTCACCCCTCGGCATACCTGCATAAGCCCCCCCCAGCAAGCCCGTGCCCGCACTAAGTGAAGGCGTGCGCCTGAATGCCAATGAGCCCTCAATTCATCAATTTTTGCAAATCATGGTGGGCGCCAGACAGTTGCCACGCGGCAGTTGGTTACATCAACCCTGCTCGTGAGAATCAGAAATATCCGTGAGCCTTCCAGGCTCTTCCAGCAACATGGTGGAAGCAGGGAACACCGCATGTTTGTGCGCGGGTGGTTGGGCATGCCTAACCAATTCGGTCCCAGGCCGCTGTCTCGACGGGCCTGAGCACAGACACTTTGGCCGAGAGTGAAGCTACTGGAAACTCGATCCCACGAGGCACGCGGCAGGCAGCGAGCCCATTTACGAAAGTGCCGGGCTACTCACTCAGCATTCGGGCACTTCCTTGTGCAAGCGGCAGCGCTTCTGGAGCATGTGCTCGCTGCCGCCTGCCTACTGTGCGCTAGCGCTAGTGCTCGTGCGCATGCGAGGGCGTTGCTTTCAGGCAGCGCCATAGCCCAGCTGTGGTAGCCTGGCTGGGGCTTCGAGAAGGTCAGCGGAGGTGGTGGTGGTCTTCGTGGTAGAGGAAGAAGATGCGGGTGAGAAGACGAGGGTGACCAGTGAGAGAGAGATGAGGATGATGACGTGAGGGCACGCACCTCGTCTTGGCGATGGTCTACATGGTCGACATCTGCATGTACTTCGGTTGCTGCTGCTGACGTCAACAAGTTGGTTGTCATTTCATTACTAGTAGCGTAGCTGTAGGATAGTGGTCTGGGCAGTGAGCGTCAGTAGTAGGAAGAGCTACGATTGCAATGTTGGTGGTGGCGAGTATATGCTTTCATTGACAATTGAGTTCGACGAGTTGGTTCTACTTCGGTGTAATATCAGTGCAATTCTGCTTTCTGGACAGCGTTCGACTACCTGGCTTTCATTACAATCTGGAATTCTGTCATTTTGCTATCGCTCATTTTCCTTGCAGCTATAAATTATGCCACCGGCTCACAGAATAGGTCACTTACAGCTTCCTCAAATTCCTTTTCTGAAACACACTGCTGAAGTTGCCACTGAGGTCGTTCTTCATCAGGCTAAGCTCTTGCAGTCCAGTGAGTTTATCAAGGGTAACATGTGTCAGCTCGTTGCGTGCGATATTTAGATGTGTCAGGTTTGGCATAGACTCCTCAAAATTCATCACTCGAAAGAAGTTCCCACGTAGGTCAAGGTATCTAAGGTCCTGAAAATCGTTAAATGCTGAAACATTCCCGCTCAGGTTGTTATTGGAAAGAATCCTGCATCAACAAGACATAATCACATCAACAGCCATGCAAGAAGGTCAGGTGTTGTGAGCCCATGCATTTCAAAGTAGAAAATCAAGACAATATCACTTCGTAGTATGTACTGCATTATTATCCCAGCACGGCACACATCCACAGCCCATGCTCTTTTGGAACAGGCAGGAAATCAGGTTCTGTGACCTAGAACAGCTGCATGGGAGAAAAACTAAGGAGAACATCTGTAAATCACTGATCACCCAACACAGTATACACACGTTACTATTAGTAGTTACACCACCAGTACTTCCAGGCCTCTTTTCCCTATGCAGATTTGTGCTGTGCCCCAATAAATAATCAGCCTGCTCAAGCGCTTTTTTTTGTTTTCCCTGCCTGGCGCCCCCAGCAACTTTGGTCTGATAGGCTGAGTACCACTGTAAGCAATGCATTCATTGCAAGGAACCCGACTGTTCATCACTTGCTGGAGTGCATCAGATCACATGCATATACACTGATTTCACAGTTTGGAAAGCCTCACACAAAACCCAATAGAAGATGAATGAGAACCAGGAAGATCAACTCAATTATCAAACCCAGAATTAGAGAGAGAACATCATGAGTTCAAAGTGTATAGCGCTGAACAGAGATTACAAGTCTTCTTCGATCAGCATGAGTTCCAAGCCTGGCGCTCATCAGCGCCAGCTGCCAACTGTCAACAACAGCGCTCAACAGGTAAGTATCACCATAGCCACACTTCCCCCTCTCTCGTCTGCCTTCTCCTCTCTCTCTCTCTTTGTCTATAATCCTGGTCTACCCTCACTCATCATGCATGCACACTCCCTATCACACGAGGATCTAATTTGAATACTAGACAGGAGTCCCAGACACTTGAGGGTAGACCAGGATTATCTCCTACCGACTATCCCTACTAACATACTAACTAGCGCTGGCGCAGCTATGGCTGCCTTCCCTCTAGCCAGCACTCTCTTCCTTTACACATAGCGCTGCTCTTCAGCCTAGCGCAGCTCACACACATCTAGCGCACAACTGCCACGGCACTTCCACGCCCTCATGCGAAGTGAGCATCTGTCCAAATGGGAGGCTGGCCAGTCCTTTATAGTGCTGGACTGGCCTGGCGTGGCCTGCATTCAGCCTCAAGTGTCTGGGAGTCCTGCCCAGTACCCGTTGTTGCAAAGTGTGTGTCCCAGTATCTTTTCCCATGGTCTGCTGCTGCTTTGGGCCATCGGGCCTGTCTTTTGTACTCCTGGTCTGAATCAGGACTGACTCGTGGGATTATGACTGGACTGGGACTGTAGCCTTTGACTCGTTACCAAACAGACTCAGTCTTGAAAATAGTGTGTCCAATACCTGTTCATTCAGGACCTGTTTGTGACCTTTCAAAATGACTTTTCACTTCATTATGGATGCGACATTTATCTCAGGAATTTTGTCTTTTGAGTTGCTGCTCGTGAATTTAAGTTCTGGCCGACAGGGCCCCTTGCTGTTGGGGCATCCATTTGGGGTCTGATTCGTAAAGGTCCTTTTATCATGGCCGCATCGAAAACAAATAATAAAATAAACGGATGTCACCCCACATCAACAGCATCACTACTGTCAGCAATGATCAACAAAATGCATAGCTGGCAGAGATCACATGCATCCCTCCTAGGCAGGGTTCTGGCTCTTAACAACTCAATCTTCGCCATGATGTGGTACGCCACGTCCATTTGGTTCCCAACACCGGACTTCCAGCAACAAGTAAGACGTAAGGCAGCAGCCTACCTGTGGACTGGTAATCCAGATAAACAAAACTTCATTCACAAAGTGGCATAGCAAATAGCAACGTTAGCAAAAACGAAAGGAGGTCTAGGTCTATTGGACCCAGCTCGGCAAGTACAAGCCCTACAAATCAAATGGATACTAAGACTTATTCTGCAGAGCAATCTCCAATGGGTTCCACTCGCACTCGACTACATCAGGGAAATAGCTCCATATAACTCCCCACCCAATATGATGGGCCAGTTTTGGAATCTCAATAAACAATGGCCTATACAAAATTGCAAAAAGATTCACAACCAACAAACAAATCAAGCAGAAGTAACAGGTAATAAACAATCCCCGCTGCTCTAAGTGTCGCGGGCCTACCCCCGCTACTTGAGTGTTTTCCCCGCTGCAACCCTCAAAGTCACAGAAACAGGTAAGTACCGGCCCTGCGGGGCCTTTCAACCAACAAGTACCCTTGCTGTTCACACACGGACTCAGCCGACAAGCACTCAGACAGGCATGCAAATCAGCAGGCACGCACACACACACAGACTTGGAAACCACAGCAGAATGCGGAAATCTCAGCAAGGCATTCATTCCAGCGGCAAATCCCAGAAATCAGCAGCGTTCTCAGTCTGTGTTTTTGGCGATTCATTACACTACCCCCCTCTCAAGAGCGAGGTCCCTTCGAACGAGTAACTCATCCAGAGTCAGGACAAAATGCATCGTAGGCGTAGATCAGAAAGAGAGATTAAGTAAGACCGTGAGAAGTGAGTTTAGCAGAAAACTTAGCAGTCTGTCCATCAGCGATCTGTCGTTCGTAAGCGTTAACAACACGTGGAGCATTCTTTAACAGCTCTTTTCGGTCGATCCAGAAAAATTCGTTCAACGGGTGATAGAGGAGGTGAACCTTGTACTGTCTGTTCCTTCCTCTTCCTTCATGGGAAACAATTTTGTCTATCTCATGGCCGTCGTCGATCGGACAAGGTATCATAGGATCTCGGAAGAGAAAAGTCTCGTCACGATGTGTGGAAACAATTTGGACGCGTGAAAGACCTGATATGTGCGCAGATGAGGAGGCACGTCAATCACATACAAGGACCAAAATCATCCCCAATCACCTTCAGAACCTGCCAAGGGCCATAGTACAATGGAAGAAGCTTACGTGATACGCCCTCTTCGTCAGAAAACTCAGACATTTTGACCCAGACATAACTCCCAACTTTGAAGTTCCCTTCTTTGCACGACTTGTTAGCAAGTTTGATCATGGCATGCTGGCGCTTGTTCATTGTTGCGATAGCAGCTTTGGGCACGCGTGCGTACTTGGCATTGTAGCCAGGCATGCCGGGCGTCAGACCAGGGGACCGTTCGGGGAACAAATAGGAGAGAGGATTGCGCAACTGCCAACCATATCACAGCTGATTCGGTGTCACGCCAGTTGTAGAGTGAATGGAGTTGTTGTACAACTCCTTGTCCCACGTGTTCTCATCTGGAACAATTAATGCGCAAAGTACTTGGATGACAGTCTGGTTGATTTCCTCTGCCAATCCATTGGCTTCGGGGTGTCGACCAGAAGTCTTGTTGAGTTTAATGTCATAGATCTGCGAAGTGAAGTCCTTCCAATCAGCACTAATGAACCTGGTGTCCCGATCACTCAAAAAGAGTTTTCGGGGGTCCATACTGTAGAATGTACTGCTGGTGAAATTCTTCGATCACTAGCTCAGTTGGTGCATGAGGAGGTAGAGGAATCAAATTCATAAATTTGGAAAAATGATCCACAATGACCATGACTTGTGAATGTCCTCCCTCGCTCATCTTCCCCATGTCTGTGAAATCGATAGAGACTGACTCACCGGGCCCATCATGAATTGGGAGCGGTTTCAGCAGGCCATAAGGCTTATGCCTATGGACCTTGGTTCTTTGACAGACTTGACATTCAACAATACATTTCTGAGCAGATCCCTTCATTCCCGGCCAATCAAACTGCTGCAAAAAACTTCCATAAGTCTTCTCAAAGCCGAAGTGTCCACTCCGACCATGTGCCAAATCCAAGAAATGAGTCCAGACAGGCGCATGGTTGGGTACACACAAACGATCAAACTTCCCATACCGGCGGAATACAAGACCCTCACACTTGTGAAAATCAGGTTGACTGTTGGGGTCAACCTTGGGCTGCTCAAGGATGGGATTAAGGTCCAGATCCTCGGCAGTGTGTTCGACCAGATCCTCCTTTAGTTTCCGTTGGAGGTCATACGAGCTCACAAGGCAAGTCAAAAACTCAAGATGATGCGACAAAGCATGAGCAACACGATTATAACAGCCTTTCTTATGCTTCAGTTCAAAGTTGTAAACATCAATGTCATGCAACAAGCGGGTCAGTGTTGGAGAGAGATTAGATTGAGTTTTAATCCACTGCAAAGTCTGATGATTTGAGTAGACCTTGAAGTGACGACCCAAGAGGTAGTGCTTCCAACGTGTGAGTGCTTCTCGCAAAGCATAGAGCTCACCCATATATGTGGAGGTAGCTACCTTTTGGCTGGGCATGCATTTGCTGTAATATTCGAGCGGACGCAGGCCATCGCCATCATCTTGTTCCAGCACTGCACCAATCCCATACTGGCTCGCGTCCGTAGTGACTTCGAACGTGAGGTTGGGATCCGCAATGCGCAGCACAAAGCCTCTTTCAAGGCTTGGAACGCAATCTCACATTTCTCACACCACGCACAGGCAACATTCTTGCTTTTTACTCTCGAGAGTGGGTGAGCAATGACAGAAAATTGGGGCACAAACTTCCGATAACATGAGGCCAAACCAAGAAAAGAACGCAGTTCCCGTACGTTTGCCGATTGAGGCCAGTTTCGTATGACCTCAACCTTGGTTGCCTCCGGCTCAAGGCCGTTTGCAGACAACCGGTGCCCAAGATAGATGACGTTGTCCCTTCCAAACTCAGATTTCTCTAAGTTGAGGTGCAGTTGTGCCTCCTTGAGGACCTGCAAAACCTCCTCAAGGTGCTTGACGTGCTCTTCCATGGACTTGCTGAAAATCAGGTTGTCATCGAGGTAAACAACAACAAACCTGTTAAGCTGATCGCGGAGGACCTTGTCCATGAGGCACTGAAACGTGGCTGGTGCATTCGTAAGACCGAAGTGCATAACGATGAATTCGTACAGCCCATCGCGTGTTTTGAATGCAATTTTGTGTTGGTCGCTCGGATCAACTTCAATCTGGTGGTAGCCAGATTTGAGGTCGATCTTGGAGAAGACTTTGCATCCACCTGCCGCATCTAGCAGATCATCTATGCGAGGCAAAGGATAAGCATTCTTTCTGGTGATCCGATTGAGGCCACGATAGTCAATACACGTCCGGAGTTTGCCTCCTTTCTTCGGCACGAACAAGACAGGTGCACCGAACTCATACTCACTAGGCCTAATCCATCCACGATCGATCATGTCATCAATTTGCCTCCTCAACTCCTCCAACTCGCCTTGTCCCATACGGTAGACGCAGCCCTTTGGAGGAACACTCCCTTCTATTATCTCGATTTTGTGTTTGACCGGACGCTCGGGAACTTCACGAGGTTCAGCCAGGACTTCAGGAAATCGATCTAATAGACGACGAATGTTTGTTGGGACTTCCGATGGAGGATCATCCTCATCAGGAGAAAGAAAATCAGATCGAGAATTTACAGCA